CGCGGGGGGGGGGGGACAGGCCGGGCGGCCGGGCGGCGGGTCCAGCATCCCCCTGAAATGGCAGCCGTCGGGGGGTTCACGGGCACGGTCTCTACCCATGGCCCTGTGGGTGACATAGCCATCCAGTGCTAAAATTAGGACATGCTGTCTCATCTGGGATGAATGCCCACCCTCCGAGCCAGGCAGAGATGGGGGCCCCTGGCCGCCACCGGTGATGGGATCGGCCCCATCCAAAAAGCCAGCGGCCGGGCAAGGAAGGGACCCGCACCGCTGCCCACGGCCGGGGAACAGGACACGTCTCCTTCCAAAGGGGTTTCTTGCAGCAAGATGGGTCTGAGCTCCCTGCCTGGCACCCCCTGCACTGCTCACACCGCGCCGTGAGCCCCCGCTGCAGAGGGGGGATGCCTGCGTTCGTGGGGAAGGAGATGCTAGATGTGTATGGAGCCAAGGTGGGATTTTTTCCCCCAGGCTGGGAAGATCCCACATGGGGCTGGGAAGTATGGGAGCAGCCTGGTACGGGGAGCAGAGCCTGGCTGCTGTGAAATGCCCAGTGGGGTCAAACACCCAACATGGGGGGTGTCCCAGCCAGCGCAGACCCGACTGGGACAGGGCTATGGAGAGCGTGCTGTACCCCTGGGTGTCGTGCACCCGCACCCAGCACCTCCTGTCCCCGCCACCCTCCGGGCTCACAGGGTCTTGCTTTGGTTTCTGTTAAAAAGGCCCGGAGGAGCCAAAAGCCACAAATGCAGCCGGGGGTGCGAAACCCTGTGCTCTGCCGGTGCGGCGCATCCCGTCCCCGGCTGCCGCATCCCGCTTCCCACGGCTCCCCCTTCCCCGCTGTTCGGTTTAGCTTGAATAAATGGATGAGTGAGTGGCTGTGGGCAGTGGGACCAGGAGTGGCTGGGGGTCCCCAGCCTCCAGGGGGTCCGGGACACCTACGTCCCTCCAACCCCACGTCAGGTCCCACAGCGAAACCCTGCGGCTGGGGTAGAAACCCCGAGCGGGGGTGGTGGGCACGGGGGCTTCCCTGCTTGCTGTGCTCACTCCTGCGGGCTTTCCTGGCACTGCAAAAGCAGCACACGTCTTTAGGAAAAGAAAGAGGAAATTCGGGTGGCAGGGACCCACAGGAGACCCCAGACCCCAGGCAGTGCAAGATGGGGAGAGCAGCACCGTGGGGCTGGCGATGGCTCCGGTCTCTCCCACCCACGACAAGCTGGATACGAAGCATTTCTCCCCCTCTTTCCTATTAATTCCCCCCAGACTACAGGGATGTTAATAGCTGGGCTCTTCCAGCAGCCAGGATTAAATGGCAGGACGGGGAGGCCGGGAAGCGC